TTATCAAATAAAACTCGAAATTTTAGAATTTGACAAACATGGGAATGGTAATTTATAAATATGACGGATTTTTTTTTATAGAATGTTTTTCCAACTTTAATTTATTGCGGGAATTTTTCTGTTGAAGGGGAATTCACTTCAGGGAAGGAAATGTGGTTGGACTATCTGACGAATGTATTTTGTCAGGCATCACGGGTGGGGACACCCCATCTGCCACTAACTGGACATATCTGACCGAGGTGTTCAGAAAAATTATTTTGTTAACAACAAGGGAAGATGAAAAATATCACGTCTTTCGAGAAGAGGCAACCCTTGACGTTCTCATGAAAACCAGAATCATAACTTCGATAAGACACAATATGCCAAGTAACTGGAAACAAAAAAACGAGATGACATTGTGGAAGAAGTAGGAAAAACTTATAATGATTTTTTTGCAAATATGGAAGACGAGGTCTATTGACCTTAGTATCAACTATTAGGAGTCTTACTTTGACAACTTGGTTGCTGAAATAAATAGTCTGTCGAAGCATAGAGACTAGAAGGAGTTGATTACACAAACATGTAACTCTAATGTTTTCTAGGAGTTAAATAGGCATTTGAGGGAGTTGAGTAGGTATGTGGACAGTTAACATGCGGTTCTTTATTATGGTCGTCGTTTATACCAGATGTTTAGACAAAATCATTCTCAAACCACCTTTTTCTTATTGAAATGTGCGAGCTTCAAGATTTACTTTGGGGAAGTTTTTTTTCGATAAAGAGATGTTGGACTCGATTTCTACTAGCGCAAACCAAAGTTGGGTGATGACTGAATGTATCAGAGTGAAATTAGAAGGTCGATGACCTTGTCTTACTTAGTACTTCAAATTTTAAACTTTCTTAAAAAAAAAAAAAAAAAAAAAGGAAAACCCTTAACTTGTTATGAATGTTGTTAGAGTCAACATACAACATCAAAAATTTGGTTTATGGCAAAAGGAATGGAAGTCTCTGAGAAATGTTAAAGGTGTCAGTGGGCAAAAGAGACCATCAGGCATTTGTGGTTGAACTATCCGTACTCCAAGCAAGTATACAAATATGGAAGAAGCACAATGTGAGCTTAACCGAAGGGGAGTTAATTTATGGGCGAGAAATGTGGTTGGACATACTGACGGATGGATTTTGCCAGACATCACAAGAGGAGACACCCCATCAGCCACTAAATGAACGTACCTGGCCCATGAGTTCATAAAACTTCTTTGTTAACAGTAAGGGAAAAGATAAAATATCATGTCTTTCGAAAACAGGAAACTTTAGACGTTGACACGAAAACCAGAATTATGACGTCGATACAATACTGTATGCTATATAATTGGAAACTGAAAATGAGATATGAAAGAAGTAGGAAATACTTGCAATGGTTTCTTTACGACCGAGGAAGACAACTTCTATTAGCTTTAACATCAACGATCGGGAGTCTTACTGTGCTAACAACTCGGTTGCTGGAATAAACAACCCATCGAAGCATAGGGATTAAAAGGAATTAATTACACAAAGAGGTAAGTTTACTGTGTTTGAGGAGTTTAGTAGGCATAAAAGTGAGTTGAGTTGGTATGTGGACAATCAACAGGTAGTTCGTTGTCATGACCGTTTTTCGATAAGGGACATTGGACCCGATTTTCTATGTTGCATAACGTAGTACACATACGGGCGCTTTCCATACAAAACGTAAAGGTAATATCTGTACGGGGTCTGTACGGGAACCTGTACGTCTTATACGCCCCCGTATGAAAAAAAAAAAAAGTCATAAAAAAAATATGAAAAACAAATATGTGATGCAACAACATAAAAAAAACAACATTTGGTTGAACATCATCTTTAGATTCTTATTAGAATTGGAAAAAAAAAATAAAAACAATATTGGATAAAAAAAATAATAATAATAACAAGAAAACTCGCACGGGGCCCATAGCGTACGAGTACAAGAGTACAAATCCGTACTCATACGAGGGTGCGTACAAGTGGCAGCGCAACCGATTTCCAACACAAGACGAAGCTAGGTGATCGCCCTAATATATCCAGGTAGAATTTCAAGGTCATCGACCTAGTCTTACTTGGTACTCTAAATTTCAACCTTTCTCATAAAAAAAAAAAAAACCCTTAAACAGTTTATGCATATTGTCCGAGTCAATAAACAATATAGGTAAATATGACATTCATGGACCAAACTCTACTAACAACATCACAAACTTTAGCCTGCATAGCTCAATTTATACAACCATAATAACATATTGAAAGTACGGTCTCACTCCACTATTTTCCATTCTTGAATTATGTCCTTTGATAATCGTCAGACACAAGAAAACGTCAAAAATTTTGTTATCGCTCCACTTACTCTCGAAAAGGGGGCTCTCGAACTTCAAGAGCAACAGTGGAGAACACTACCCGACAACCAAACGTGTGGCTTACCCACCTTTATTCGAGGACTCTCGAAAAACAAACTTGTTTAGTGTAGAGCCAAAGACCGACGAAAATAAGTAAGCCGCAGGAGAGGAAACTCTTGAAAGTCAACCTCTCGAAATAGTTTTTGAAAGTCCGTCTCAAGAGCAGGTGGAGGAAGGGTGGACGTTAAAAAAATTGAGAGTTGAGAGTAGTGGAGCGAGGCCCATAGACCTAGGCATCTTAGATATGTGCATAATCATCTTTTTCTTTTTTAGTTGGTCACGGTTGTTTGACACACGTGTTTGCGATAGGAATTCAAGGTTGCTGCCAACCACTGTGTTCTGCATAAAGGAAGAACAATTGTGGAGGTTGAACATATGTTCCTCAACTGTTGTAGTTTGTCACCGAGGTTGAACCCTTACAACACTTTTCAATTGACACTGGAGTGTCGTTTGTGATTGTGAAACCCACAAAAAGGTTGCGCGTTCATGCGTATCATGTAGTGCGTCACCATACAGGAAAACCGCGAGGTTTCATATATTTGAGTGTTAATGTGTCACATACGCAGTGTCCGCTAGGGGCACCCTCCAGCAGGTGGGCGCTACCGGCCAGGGGTCGACCGGTAGCATCAGAGACCATACCATCTGGTCCAATCTCTGCGCCTCCCCTCCAGTCCCCTACCCCTATGGACATCAGCAGTATCTGCAGGGGCCAGTGTCCTACCTGTGGATGGTGGATACCACGTATGCCTAGGAAAGAAAATGAGGAGAATCGGTATCGACCCATGACCTCCTGAATGCCACTTTTTTTTTTTTTTTTTTACTTTTAAGCCCTGGGTGTTGTAGAGGCCGGTTACTAGACACACATTGACCGCCTGTGGTCAACCATGGTTGTCCTGAGGGAGCGAGGCTACCTTCCCATCCCATCCTCATGTCAATACTCCTAGCGCACCCCCTATCTCTACTATCCTACCTCAGTGTGACCAGCACTCAGGACCATTACCCCTACTTGGTGTCGAGGGGAACTTGGACCGAAAAGTAGTGACAGGCACCAGGGCTAGCCATGACCCAGCCCTGGTGGAAGCGGAATTGAACGAGCCTCGTCGCACGGGAAGCAATCTCCTACTAGCCCCTAAGTTCACCAACTGGTAACTCACACCCTCTACTCACCCACCACAGTCCTGGCTGATTTTAAGGCGGGGTACTTATCCTCGTAATGGCTATCATCATCTTAGTTAGTCGAGACCAACCAGTGACTCACGCCCTCTACTCGCCCACCACAGCCCTAGTCTGCCACACACAATCGCTGATATTAAGGGGGGTACTTATCATCGGGCGCCTATCATCATCATTAGTTGATCCTGACCAACCAGGGACTCACGCCCGCTACTCACCCACCACATACCTAGCTGATATTAAGGGGGATACTTATCATCGGACGCCTATCATGATTATCAGTTGATCATGACCTCCACCCAGCCCTATGGTTGTGTATGTGTGTGTGTATTCCATATCATGGATGTGTACCCGTGGGCTATGTGTATGTTTGTAATGTGTATGTGGACCCGATTTCATAGCAGATGCTGCTCCCCACCGTGGAGCATCTGCGAGGTGAGTACGGAGTACTGGTGAGAGGTGCTCTTGTCGCCGCCGCTAGTACGTGTGTGTGTGTGTACCTTGAGCTATATATGTGTGTGTATAGTATGTGTGTATGGTATGTGATAGACTATGTAGAGGTGCTCTTATCACCTCCACTAGTACATGTGTGTGTGTGTAGCTTGAGCTATATATGTGTGTGTATAGTCTGTGTGTGTGGTGGTGTGGTGGGCTGTGTGTGTACAGTCTGTGTGTATGGTATGTGATAGACTATGTATCGTGGTTGTGCTATCTGGCGTGGTATCTCATGTGTGTGGGTGTATGTGGTAGAGACAGGCCTATCTGGACAGGACCCCCCCCAAAGTCCGGAACCGGACTCGACCCTGTGACCTACAGTATGAAACTGGAGGGTTCTACCACATGTACTACCGTAGAAAGTGGATATACTGTGTGTAATGTCTGGGCTGGGGGAGTCCATCAGAGCAACCAAAGCCAACAACAACCGGCAACGAATGAGAAGTCTAGACCAGCATACAACACCCATGGACTGACCCCCTGGGTGGTGCGCAGGCGGTGTCTGTAATAGTACCATGCGTCATCCCATGGGAGTGTATTTCCAGCCGTACGTCATTCTAACGCCCTGCCGGTGTCCATGTGCGAGGCTGCGGAGTTTTGAGCCCGCAACCTCATACCACAACGCGCATTTCCAACGGGTGCTCTAACCACTGAGCTACATCAACTGGACAACCTCCTGAATGCCACTTTTGTGCCTTACCAACCGAGATAGGCTGCTACCTCTCGATGGTGGACACCACGTAGGTACATGAGAAGGCAGGTATCGAACCCCCGACCTCCTGAATGCCATTTATGTGCCTTACTAACTGAGAAAGGCCGATGACTTCCGTGCGAAATTTCATGCCACATCGAGCCCTCCCGACGCCACAAGATTCTGCAGAACCGTGCCGATCATTTTCTCCAAAAGCAGGGGCTGCTATCGAGTCCCTTGAATGTACTCGGTGTTGTGTTGGCCCCTGCTCAATCTTCTAGTGCGTTTGCGCTGGCGAAGCTCCAGATAAGGAGCTTGTAGTGCGCTGGAGCCGGCGAAACGTCTGATGAGGAAGCACTACGGGTACATGCGTGCTGGCAGGCAGCCTCGATGATCGGCGAGAGATCGCTGGCTGGTAGTTCGCAAAAGAGGGCGGTGAGTGAGTGAAAGGTCCATCGTTTGGTCATCTTCCCTCCCCCCCCTCCCTCCCTCCCTCCCTCCCCTTATGCTTTCTATCCCTCCTTTATCTGCGAGGTGACCTGTCCGCATGTACCGATCGCACGGTAGTTGGCCGGTCGATAGCGGCTGCAGCCTTTTTTTTTGTTTGTTTGTTTTTGTTTTTTGTTTTTGTTTTTGTTTTTTTTTTCTTTCCCCCCCCTTTTTTTTTTAAATCCTCTTTTTAAAAGGGCGGGAGTCTTGAGATATAACCCAAGTTCGAATCCAGATATATCCACAGGCGACCGGCCCTCCACCCTTCCTGTATGGAATATATAAATTGTACTGGAAGTTTTTTATTTTTTATTTTTCACCCCTCGGTGAGTGGCCAGCACACGTTGTCTTCGCTGAAGGGCAATGCTCGTCGAGTGCTCTCGCTAGCACAGCCGAGAGAGAGAGAGAGAGAGAGAGAGAGAGAGAGAGAGAGAGAGAGAGAGAGAGAGAACTCTCGATTCCCCGTTCCGTCTTTCTGCCTCCCAAGACTAAACTTCGTTCTCTAGCCCTCCATCCAACTTCGCCGCCAGATCTGCTCGCTTCTGCTTGGTTTCTTCACCTTTCATTCATCTCTGCCTTTCATTGGGGATACTCCCGTGCATCTGACCGCAATTACGGTGAGTCCGTCCAGAAGGTACGCGTTGAGTATGGCCTGGCCGTCCAACACTCTCCTTCTTCATCCCGTCTGTATGTTCTTGTCTTGTTTCATGGCGCCGTCGCCCTGTCCTTTGTGTTGTGGTGAGCTCTATCTGCTGGTGCACCATGAGCTGCAGCCACACGTGGTTTTGCCTTCTTGGACCGTGACATGCATGTGCTTTCTGTATCTGCGCCTGTGCCGGAGGGAAGGCGGAAGACTTGGGGAACGCGCGCGCGCGCGCGCGCGAGAGAGAGAGAGAAAGAGAGAGAGAGCGGTGTTTGATCGGTCGCATCTCGATCACGTAGCGGCAATAGATCTGCCATTGCATACATTGATTGGAGATTAGGGCCAAAAAAAAAAAGATTGTGTATTGTTCCTTGTTCTGGCGGAAGATTCACTCTGATTTGCACATTTGGTGATTGGTTCGGTCGAACATTCTAGGTGTTTGGTATCCCCCATTTTCAATGATTTTCGTGTTTTTTTTTTTTTTTTTTTTTTTTTTTTTTTTTTTTTTTT